TATTTTTCTTAAATTATATACGTATATTTTAGATAGAATTTTGTAAATTTATATTATTATTATATTAATTTTATTTTTAAATATATGTTTATTTTAGGTTTAATTATATTTTTCTAGGTTAAATTATTTATTTAAGTAAATTTTGTATATACTAGATTATTATTAAAATAATTTTTTTAAATGTTTTTGTTTATTTGTAATAAATTTATTTAAAAATTTACTTACTTTTTTTATCTTATACACCTAACTATCATAGAAGCTACATAAAATAATGAGGTGAGTTTTTAAAAGGATATAATTAAACAAGTTTTTTTTTTTCAAACTTAATTACTTTATTATTTTTATTATAATTTATTATTATAATTTTTATATAATTACATTTTAAATTATTTACATTATTAACAGATACCTAATTAAATATAAAATGTATTACCTACTACCTATTACCTAATTAAATATAAAATCTATTACTATCTAAAGTTTCATTTTAACTTACGTCCTATATTATTATATATAAAATAATCATTTTTTAATATAATTTTATTATAATTTTATATAAATACATTTTTAAATTATTTACATTATTAACAGTTACCTAATTAAATATAAAATCTATTACTATCTAAAGTTTCACTTAACTTAAGGCCTATATTATTATATATAAAATAATCGAATTTATACACCAATTCAAGCCAAATCATATGGTTACTATATCGTGGTTTAGCTTCTATAAAAGATTTGAACATGTTTGTGTTGTAAAAATGTCTATCATCTCGACAGATCTCAACGATTATATCACCTAAGATTGAATTAAACGTTTCCGCTAAATGTAATTCTTCATATTCTTCGACAATATTACCGTGAAAGGATTTTAACTTCAATAGATTGTCCAATGTTGATTTTTGGAGAATATCATAATTTCCAGATGATTTCCCTGTTATTTTTACATTATCGGCTGGCATCGTTTTTATCACGTAATTGGAAACCTCGAACTCATCTCCATTATTGGTATTTTGAAAAACCCTGGGTAAAATACCTAAAAACTCCTTAAATTCGCTGTTGCTGAAACTAAGGGCGTTGTATTCCTTGCCAGTTTTACATAGTTTTACACATATAGAAAAATTACTATAAGGATTCACCCCAACTATGTAATAACGACTGTTTGATAACGTTAATGGGATTCGGACCTCTTTTAACAGGTTATTTTTCTCATAATCCAATGCATGTATTGTTTGTTTAGACTTTGATGTATTTTCCGTATAGTCACACATTTTATGCAGTTGTTTCTGTATCCTAAATATTCTGAAATAAAATAAATAATATATAATATAATATAATTATAAATATATATATAAAAATAATGTAATAATAAATATATGAGTTAATTTAATAATATAATAATGTGTGTTAATTTATATATATATATTTATATATGTAAATATGACTACAAAATATTTAAAAATTATTTAACAAGTATGTAATGTACTTACTTTTAACAATCAATTTCGATGTACTCTTGAAATATATAAACTTTTGTATATGTTGACCGTCTAAATTTTTTAAAACGACTGATGATTTGGTGTTCCAAATTTTCTTTTTTATATGAAAACTATGAGACACGTACTAACTTGTTAGGCATCTATGCATTCAGTCTACATAATATGTAGTACATTTAATTTAAATCGTTTGAAAAATTAATTATCAAAAATTTATTATTATCCCACGGTTTTTTTTTTTAAACCTATTTTATTATTCTCGTGTACCTGTATTTTAGTCAAATTACCTATTGGTATACAAAAATATATAAATTTTATCTTTATTGCTTTTTACACCATTATTCTTTGCCGACGTATTTTATTATCCCTACAAAATTTCGAAAATCAATTACGTTATATAGTTTAATTTATTCTGCTTTTACTTTTTTCCAACAAAACGTGACAATAAAATTTAAAACTTTTTGCTTATATTCCCAAGTGAATAGGTACCTGTGCTTTTTGCCTAAATATTAATCAACACGTAATTTCCAAGAAAACGTGAAATTTAAAACATTTTGCTTATATTTTATTCCCATAGTATTACAAGTGAATAGGTAGGTACCTGTGCTTTTTTGCCTAAATATTAAGTTTAGCACGTAATTTCTTAAAACTCTATCGATTAAAATACTTCTTAGAATTCATTTACGCATATTTTCCTTTTACACTAGTACACATTGAATTATGCTACGTGCGAGCCAGAACACCTTTCGAGATTATAAATTTGTAATAGTATTGCACTTCTGTATGTATGTATTTTAACAATTGGCCACCTGCGTATTTATTTTTATAAAATTAACAATAGTAGAGATTGAATTATGATACGTGCGAGCCCCGAACACATTAGAGATTATAAAACCTTTGTTACTTCGCGCATACATTGTTTACTAAGGCACCGCCACACATTGTTCACTAATCCCCCATTGTTTACTAAGGCACCACACATTGTTCACTAATCCCCATTGTTCGGGACACGTACATACGTGACCCAAACAATAGCGCATAGTACATACGTGACCAAAACAATAGCGCATAAAGTGTCATAGGTTCTGCTGGTACATTCTCACGATTTTTTGGCGGTCTGTAAAAAAATCTTCACTTTTAATAAAAATGTAAAACGTCAAAAGTATTTAATTAAATTTGTCCTTCTGTTTATAAATATTTCGGTCATGTGGAATTTTTTACGCGATTAAATTGCCGACGATAAGTTCTGGGAATCCCATGGAACCTATTCAACATATAACAAATATATTTTAATATGCTATTCAAGCTCGTGCCCATTTTGAATTGAAGCAATGAATAATCGTCGAGTGACATTTTTTATTGAAAGTGCGATAAGTTGGCCAAAAATGTTTTGATCGTTAACGAAAATTGTAATTACAATTTTTTTTAAATTGTAGGTAAATGTTTACTATATACAAAAAAATGTTTTTTAAATTATTTTTTTTTAATTGTTTTTTCTAAAAGGCAAAAAAATGAGGTCAAAATTTTTACATTGCCACATTTTTTTTTACTTCATATTTTTTTCCGTTGAAGTTGATAATATATATGAACAACTTTTACCAAAAGTCCCGAATTGGCTAAATTCGTCGTTTCGGAATAATTCTATTATTTTTTTAATGAAAATGCCATTTTCTAGTGATAATTTGTTGTCTTATTTTTTCGAAAATTGCAACAACTCATCACTTTCTTTGTAGATATTTGCCAAACAGTCAATTATATCGACAAAAAATTCTCTCAAATTTCGTGCTGCCTCATTTTTTAACTTCTTTAAAATATCATTTGCTTATTCGAAATTCGTCAGGAATTCTGAAACCTTACCGAAAAGATTCAAACAAGTCAAATATTTAGCTTAATTTGAAAAAAATGGCATTTTATACGAAAGTGAATTCAGATCCTTATTTTTCTGTCATCACTATTCCAAATGCAGTTTTACCTCTGCAACCGAATATGGATCAGCTGTTATTTCCAACATCAGTTTTGCCCAAATAACAATCACCACAACCACAATCAGGGCCACCATTACCGTTACTACCAAAGAAACTGAGGTTGATAAAATATTTTTAAAATTACTTAAAGAGATATGCACTTTTTGGTAAGCTAATAAGATTGTGCCACTTTCATTGTTTTATATTTATATATATTTATTATTTTTAAATATTTTACTGAAATTTTACGAAAATTGAAGAAACTTCATCAAAATTTTATGAGCCATATGCATTTTTTATCCGTTTTCCGATGCAATTATAGCAAAAGTAAAAGTTTAAATTAATCATGACTTTTAAAAAAAATTTAAAGTCTGATTTAATTTACAAATTAAATTGGTAACAGAATTAAATTAATTTATGTATATAAGTAACAATAATTACTTATAGTCTATTCAAATCCAAGCCGAAGTAAACAAAAATGCCCAGACGCTTGATAACTCGTTCTTATTGGTCGATTCGGAATCTGTTGTAAATTATTATTAAAGGTCCCAGGGGAGGCCGCATGTAAAATTTATGCGTAATTTTCAGTAAATTGCGAAACTTTCAATGAAATTTCTGAAACTTTCACAGGCAATGTTAAAATTTTCGGATTGAAAATTTCATTTGAAATTTTTAAAAATTTCACTTTTCCAACTAAATGAAATATTTCAAGTTTGAAACTTTCAAAGTTGAAATTTTCATTTGAAAATTTCAACTGTCCCAACCCTAGAGACCAATATTCGCAGTTAAACGTTTTTTTTTTATAAAAAAAAACACTTTTAGTTAAATGCAAAAGAAATAATGATTTTACACGTTTAATATGAATGAAAGGTGTAAAATCATTATTTATTTTCCAATGGAAAATTTCCATTATTAAATTTACTGTTAAAAGTGATTACGTTACATTTAAGTAAGTATCTGAATCATTTTTAAAAGTAATTAACTTAATAATGCGTAATTCGTTTTAATAATCCAGAGCAAACTTCGAAATCACCCATCGCCGGTGAAGGTTCTACTGCTGAATTACGAATACCATCTCTCCGTCCGAGAGTCTTGGCGTCTCCCACTCTTGAAGATTATTCTCCCACTCTTAAAAATCGAATGCGGCCTGTGACAGGCCGCCTGTCTACATGTAAAATGAAAATGCGGTATAAAATTAAATGTTATACTTAATTCACTAGCGGACCCGTTAGACATTGTCCTGCCCGAACGTTGGCTAGATACCTACAGGGTCCAATTGTGAATCTAAACAACTCAGGAACCCACTCAAACGCACACAAAAAATTTAATCAAAATCGGTCCAGCCGTTATAATTTTTAGCATACAGGTCGTTTTATATTCTACTTTTTGAAAATTTTCTTGCATAGTAATTTTTCTCGGGCAATTTAAAAAGAAACCCCTAAATTTAAGCTTTGACTAATAATTATTAATTAAACTCCTGAATACAATGTCTTTACAAATACTGGAAATACACACTGATTATAAAAAACTTTAACAAAATCCAGGATTGGTTTTTATTTCAAATCACTTTTATAATATATATTTAATTTTTACAATTTTGATATTACGACGTCGCGACGTTAATACTACTAATAATGGTTGCTGGATTTTTTTTTCTTCAGGCATTTGCAATCACAATAGGAGGAGATGTAAAATAGATCAAACGAAAATTTACAATTTTCGAAGGTAAGTAGAATATCCAGCAACTTTTGTTCCTTGCATTTGTAGTTTTCTCTGTCGTCTACAAGCAATGGGCTGCAATCTGGAGAGCTGAAAAAAATTAACACTGTTAAAGAATGTTACAAGAATACCTAAATACTACAAGAAAATATTGAACAAAATTTAGATTCAGATATGCCTTGAAAGATTTTTTGAATTTTTGACATTTTGTTATGAATTTGAGAACCAAGCACAGACATTACAATTTGCTGTTTTCGTTGTATACGCCAAAGAAGCATCGAATTTTCGCAACGCGCGCGCCTCTGGTGGTTTTTCACAAAAGAGAAGTCTTAATCGACAAATTTTATTCGCAAAGTTTCAATTGCACAGCTAAATCGCGCACGTTATTTGTGTTTCGCGTTGCACGTAAAAACTAAAAAACTTTGGTTTTGTACTCGATTTCGATTTATTATTCCTTATATCATTGATTAAAAAACTCAACGCTTACATGCTTATAGTTACGTTAGTGTGTGTATTTTATCCAAGTAATCATGGAGAATTATTGTGTTTTTAATTGTAAATGTAATTTAAGAACTAAATGTTTATGTTTTGCCACATTTGTTGTTGCAGAATTTACTAATAATAACTTTACTTAATATAATTTATATTTAAGTGTGGACATTTTTAAGAAATCCAACAAAAAATAATAGTGGTACAAAAATTACCTTAAAATCAAACATTTTTATATTTGAGTCCTCTAAAAAAACGCCAACAATCGCATTTTAAAATAATAAGCGACAAAATTTATCTACGAATTCATGGAAACATAGTATATATATATAATAAATATAATAATACCAGTTTTTGTTTTTTTACCGTTGAGTTGAGACTTTCTTAATAAAGGCTTTTTATAATGCATAACGCTGTTTAAATTTAGACGACCTATTTGTTTTTTGATTTTTACTGAATTAAAATGTTTACAATTTTCATGTTGGTGCACATGTAGAAATAACTAATTCATGATAACTTTACATAATATGGCCAAGCACAAAAATAATGATTTGTTTTTGGCATAAGGTGAACTAAAACTAGAAATTATAATATACAGGGTGATTCACCTAACTGATTCATTAGGGGTTTATAGAAAACTAAAAGAGACATCAATCTGCAGCTATGGTGCGATGGGATCTTGCTTACTAAAATATTTTCAATGCGCTGTCACTTCCTGTTTAAACGGAAGTTACATTAACTTTGTTTTTTTAAATGAAACCGTATAAATATTATTGCATTTTTAAATTCTACGTAAAATTCTTTAATTGTTTTTGAGATATTTATTTTTTCCAAAAAAATTTGACACTTGGAGTAACTAGGTAACTAAAATATCTGTATTACCAAAAATTGTTAAATGTTAAAAAGTTAATTTTTGTTATACACGTTAACAAAGGCGTATCCTATCAGGACCCATTAATAGTATTCCAAAATATTATACAGGGTGTTTGGTATTTACCTTTACTTTTTTGAAATTTTAAATGCCAATAACTTTCTTATTTCAAATGGAACGACCATACATTTTTTACACCATTCGACGCGGAATGATGTAATGAGTATTTACAGAGATATTACCAAAAATGTGTTTAAAAACGCTCATTAGACTTGTGTGTATTGTCGCAAGTGTGCTTTGGATGATTTTATATGTCATATTTGACAAATAAGTAAATATAAACTGATGGCTGATAACAATACTTATACTTATCGTGATATTCTTAATGTTTTATACATATGGCGATTGTGGCAAAATTTTGGAAAGAACTGTAAGAACTTTTAATGAGAGGTATCCTTATATAACTCCTCTTACCAAACTCAAGTTTAGAAAGATAGAGAAGACATTTATTTATCACGGAAAAGTTAAAGTTGAGAGAAACCGACAGAAAATGGTGACAGGCAATGAAGAAAATCAGATTAACGTTTTGGGATATTTCAATGCAGAGCCTCAAGGGTCTATCAGAGAAGTAAAAATTGCAGGTGGAATTTCATATACCTACATCTGCCCAGCGGATACTCAAGAAAGCCGGTATGCATAATTATAAATTTCAAAATGTGCAAGCCCTTAAAAATGAGGATTTTCAAAAAAGAGAACGGTTTTGTTCGCAGTTAATGTACAGAATTGATTACTATTTTTTGGAAGGAATTATTTGGACAGACGAAGCAAAATTTTTAAGGGATGGTATTGTCAATTCCAGAAATAATCACTTTTGGTCAAACCAAAATCCCCATCTAGTTCGGGAAACTAATAATTTACATAAATTTAGCTTTAACGTTTTTTGTTTATTAATGAACAATAAATTATCATTTTGTATTTATAACGAGAACTTGTCTGGAAAAATACCTAGACATACTAAATTCAACAGTAAGCGACATTAGGACAATTACTTTAGTTTGCTTTATTTTTCAATATAATTTTTTAAATTTTATATTGTTTATTTTTGTAATATGACGATACACAGATACTACGAACCGCATGGAAACCAGCTCTTACAAACACCAAAACGCCACGCAGATTAGCGAGATCAATGGAGCCGAACATAACACAGGTGTACCTTGTTGTACACAATCGCAGTCACAGTAAATTACGCGGAAAGCTAAGAGGGTATAACAATCAGCGGCAACGGAGCTCACTCCACGTCTAACTTGCAGCAGAGCAGCAACAGCAGCCCAGCAGATAAGAACTGAAGATGATACATGAGATTGTACCGAAACGTCGTCAGACATACGGTTCTTTTAAGAACCAAAAACCGACAACACATATATATATATATATATATATATGTATATGTATATGTTTAAAACTGTACTTACTCCGGTTTGCATTTATGAATGTTATCCAAACTCTGAGTGATAGTGGTGGTATTAACAATGTACTTCCACTGCCCCCAAATATTTTTCGCGATGAAAGGTCGAACTTCCGGCATCTTTTCCGACTCGCAAAGCGAATCACCGACGTCGAAATGAAGTTCCCGTTTTTCTCTCTCCACATTAAACGGATCGTTTTGTTTGATCGGGTTTTCCTCGTACACGAAGTTGCTCACTTTGCCGTTCAGCGATTCCATATACTCGTGGTAAGGGTAAATGAGTTTGCAGCTCTTTACGTCATTTTCATCGCAGAATTGCTGTTTGCAGCAGAATTCGTATTTATTTATTTGAGTTGGTTGGCGGTGTTCTTTGAGGCATTTCAGACGTTTCTAAAAAATATAATAGTTCAATCAATACATTCACCTCGCCAGAGTTTTTGTTTTCAGTGCGTTCCACAAACTTCAAATAACGACAGACAGCTGTTTCGACCTATATTGCGTCTCATCAGTGTCGGGCAACTGGGAGTATTGAAACACACCCAAAACAAGAGATTACCTGAGCTTATAAACTACCCAAGTAAGCCAACAGAGGCGAGATGTAAGAACATTACGTGATATACGTGGGTTATCCACACCATCTAGACCTTTTAAATATTGGCGTTGAGAAACTATTTAATACTTTTGTATTTTTGTATTGAGGTAATAAAATAATTTTTAGGTATAGTATTATTTTACAAGATGGGTACTTTATTTTTAACTTAAAGCCACAACTTGTCAATGTGTATTTAAAAGGTCACTTAGTGTCATGGAGTAAAAAATAGTACATTATGTATCAAATTTGATAAACGCCATTTTATATCCGAATTTAATTTAGGCACGAGCGAACTTGCGAGCGAGTGCTTAAATTAATGAGTGTATAGAAAAGTTTATAAACGAGGTGCATACTATACTTTTTCTACGACAAATACTTATTATTATCTTAAAATGATTTAAATCAAAAATTTGTATAGAGCGCCATCTATGAAACAATAGGGGAATCTGTGTGTCACCCTCAAATGTCAAATTTTTACATTTTATAAACACAATTATAAAGGTTATAAATCGAAATGTATTTCTTAAAAATTGACAGTTTTTCACAGTGAAAGTAAAGAAAATGTTTTATGAGCACTTTACAGTGGAGTCCGTGCCCGAATTTAAGTTATAGTTTACTGCCGGCGAAATTAAAAGGTCAGTACAATCAGTGCCGGCGTGAGGCATGTGCAAACGGTGCGGTTGCACCCGGCCCCGCGTTTTGTAGGCCCCGCGCGCATCAAGGCGTCTTAACGAAATTATTGTACATTTTAGCAACATGGCAAGCTGTAAGCAAAGCGTGACAAAATAATATCTGGTCATTGCCAGAGATAATATCTTTAGTAGGTATCGTCATCTATTATCATTCAGTTCAATGTTGCTAAATGTGTATTTGAAGTTGCCTGTATCCGTTTAAAATAATTATTATTACGCCGGGAAAAGTTTTTCAAAATTAAAATTAATAAAAAAATATTTAAATCAAGAAGATATGTGCCAAGAACGACTAGCGGGTTTGGCTATATTGTCAATAGAGAAGGATGTTGGAAAAGAGCTAAAGCAGGGAAAAATTATGTGTGATTTTTTCTTAAACGTTAATTTCTATATTAATTGATGGGAAAAGCTGAACCACCCAAGTGCATTTTTAAGTCAAAATTTTCTACTATCCGGTAACACGCTTAAAAAATTTTGACTTAAAAATACACTTGGGCGGTTTCAGCTCTAACCCCTTCAATTGGTTTTTCGTTTGATGTTTTAGTGGTTTATTGCCGCTAAGCGCTACATATGTTAATTTTCAAGAGTAAATTTTTAGTTCAAGCACCGCATTTTTTTTTTGCACCTGGCCTCTAATAAGCTTACGCCGGCCCTGAGTACAATGTTCATATAAACTTTTCAAATATTGGCGTTGAGAAACTATTTAATACTTTTGTATTTTTGTATTGAGATAATAAAATAATTTTCACATTTAGTATTATTTTACAAAAAAGGCAATTTATTTTAACGATTGTATGACATTTGACAACTGTCAACTAACTTAAAAGTAACTTCAGCCCGTGACTAAAAACCTGTTGCTAACTTCCCAGATAGCACAAAGAAGTACTAAAAACGTCCTGAGTATATCTTGTATCAGACATTAGTAAGTTCCGAGTACGTCCGAATCAGGTCCTGAACCTTCCCCAGGACGTTCCAGGGACATCCGATGTTACCAAATCGTCGGTCCCCAGAAGTCCCTAAGTAAGACATCCTCTGGCCATCCTGAAATGCTTTATTGGGGACTAATGGAGTCCATTAAATGGACAAGCTTTACAGAATTGAAGAGTGGTATTCCCAAAGGCCCAGACAGCAATATGACGAATTTTATTAATTTGTTAAATGGATTTTATTAAAATCATTTTAATAATTTGCTCGTATTCGCTTAAGCAATTTCTAAAATAATTATTTTAGAAATTGCGATGACTTCGTCTCACTTTTGTTTAAATTTAAGCGTGCTCTTCACCGGCACCGATAGACGGCATGTTTCCCTCTTTTGGAGCTCGTCAGTATCGGGTAGCCGTTTACCTAGGTCTAAGACCGTTTGGTATGGAGCACGCTCTAAATTCTACTTTGCCGCTTCTTATATCAAACACAAGCAGTTACAGCGGTGAGAAGAAAGAATCGCATTAAAATGTCATAAATGTGACGTCTCCATGTTGACGTCTTAAAGAGTTAATAATATGATTTCAGTCAAAGTCTTATTTATGACAGGGGGGTGAAACTAATATACGAATATGCGCAACAAGCGCCTCCCGAGCAACGTTGCCATATTTTCTTTTTGTGTCATCTTTTTTATTAATTATTTTAATTGTCAGTTTTGACATCTGTCAACAATAGAAAGAATATTAATAACGGTAAAGATCTATTTCTAAGCTTTTAAGTATTTTTTGAGTTTTTTCATCTGTATTGGTTTCCCTTGAAGTTACAGTAAGTATATACAATAAATCAGTTGCTTTTATAATGTTTTTTTGGAGATTGACATACCTATTAAATAATTAATTTGTATGTAATTTATTACGATTAGTTTTTTTGCAAAAACCAATACTACTTAATAATATTGGAACATTTGCTTTAATAGGGACTATTGTTGTTTGAAAGTAATTTCCAGCGTACTGATGTCCCTGGTGGAAGAAGTTATTGAAATTTTTACTATTGTTAAAAAATTTAATGCATTAATGGACATCAAAATTTTTTTAATACATGTGTAGTTGCCTGTGGTCCTGACATTAGGCAACCAGAACGCATTGTTTTTATGTCTAAACAGTTGGCAAAACTTTAGTAACTAAGATGCTGCTAACTTAATGCAGAAGCCTTTTTGACACTTAATTTTGTTTGTTCGTTAATATTTATTTCTGTCTTGTTAATCATTCAAATTAACAACAATAAAAACTGTGATAGTGTAAAGTGGTGTTTTAATACAATTTAACCTCGAAGACCCACTCATGTATGTTTTTTTGGACCAAAACCGATGCAGGAGGGAAATTTTATACCTTCTTTCACTTCTGAACCCATTCAAAATACAGATGCACTGTTTGTATATTCTTTAATTTATTTTATTGTTAAAATTAGTGTATTATAACCATTTACTTTTTAAAATAAATAAATCTTTGCTACTATTTTATTTTATAGGTCAAATTTAAATAAATTAATATTATAATTATTAATATATACAAAATAAATAAAGCCGGCCCTGTAGTATAAAAGTTAATAAAATATTTGGAGTACGGCCCTAATTGGCAGGCGTTTATGACGTTTGTGTTTCTTAAGTTTAACACAGTGGTCGCCCTTCTTATATTCTTTTTCTATGATTTATGATACCTACCCTTAGTAGCCTCTAATTTTGATTCCATTAAGAGGTCAGAAAAAAATATACTTTAAGATGTTAAAAAATGTACTTCTTATTTATGAATTCATCAAGAACTCTTAATCTTGAGCTCCTAAAAATGATTTTTCTAAGATGTCATATTGTGACCTCAGTAATATGTTTTTCAACAGACTTCGTACAGAAATCTTTCTGAATTGGATGCTGTCTGGGGGGTCTAAGTTACAAAAATAAAATTGTGATTTATCAATGAAAAACAAATATTTTGCACATGTAATTGTTAAAATGTCTGAAACACGTTTGGAATTGCATATTCCGCTCTCCTGAAACCGTCAAACTCGCCTTCGGCTCGTGTGACAAACTCTTCACTCGAGCGGATATGCTGTATTCCAAACTTGTTACAGAATACTATTTTAAGTCATTCTGCAAGACACAAACTATTTTTAAATGATAATATATTATTTAACCAACTTGGCACTTAGACCCTTTGGAAATACAATGCTTCAATTACGTTCTTGGGACGTACCCAGTATATCCGCTATAATTTTCCCAAATAAGTAGAGACTGGACGTACCCAAAACTTCCGATATAGGTCTAGGACGTTCGGACCTATGTGGGACCCGAAATCTGGGTTCAGCCCGTGACTAAAGCGCCATAAAGCCACAACTTGTCAATGTGTATTTAAAAGGTCACTTACGAGTGGTGGGAGTAGAAAAAATAAATTATACCTACACACAAGTTTCTCCTTGAATCTTCTTTGTAACAAAAAAGTCGATTTTTATAAAAAAATTACCTATTCAAAATTCAATTTTTCGATTTTAATTAAGTTAAATTTAAGTGCACATGTAATATAAATACTAAATTTGTTTGTAGCTTTATCTAACAGATTGACCTTATAGCTTTTTTGTCCTAAAATGTTCTTTTTACAAACTTTATTTCAAAAAAATTTAGTACAGTGCCCGACTCGCGGCTATATCTCACACCTAATCCCTGTCTACTGCGCAAGGCTAAAATAGTTGGGTTGGGTTGTATTGGGTTAGATAGGTACCTATACAATAATTGTACAGGTCTATTGTCACTACTTATTTTATTGTACTGTATTATAAAGCTATAGCCTATAGGCAGGTTAAAACTAAATCATCATGTATGCTACTTAATATGTTACTTAAATAATTATTATAATAAACAGAGTGTCCCAAAAGTCAACGATATCCTTTGAAGGACTAATAGGTCAGCTCACGACTAATCAGAATATCAAAACATGACCTTAGTAAAAAATCATTAGTTTTTAAGAAACTTGACACATAAAATCAGTTTTTCGAGCGCCACAACTACAACATTCTATATTCTTAGATTATATTTTATTTTGCGTAACCCTGAATAGGACTCAAGGGCGTCGCCAGAGAGGGGCAGGGGGGGCAGCTGCCCCCCCCTAGAGGTTAACGCTCATAAGTCACCCTGCTAATTG